CGGGTGGGATAATAATTCCTACCTTTGTATATCAATTCTCAACGGAGTGGCTCTCCCCAAACTGTATGGCCGACATTCCAGCTTGCCCAAATGAGAGAGGTGCCTGACTTTACGCTGCACTACATTGCTCGTCACATCACATCATATAAAAGTGCCGCGCTTTACTTGACTAGCATCTTGCAATAGTTTGAAAACTTGGAATGCAGAAAAAGTAGCCAAGTGTTGCTTTGCATCACGCACATACCTTCGTAGTGTACACTGCGATGGAGGATTTGAAGATGGTCACAGTTAAAACAACCACGTAATGAGATTAAGTCTTCTTCTTACGGTGTACACTAAAAAAAGACATTTTGCCACTTGACGAGGGATCTGGGTGCTTTCTCTTGTTAAATCGAGGCATCTGCGGCGTGGTCACAACTTTAACAACTTTATCTTGAAGGAGACGTCCATCGGCCCGTTATGCACGATCGTGTTAGCGCAAGCACATCAGCAGGTTCTGACGAAGTTGAATTGGTAGAAATTATCAGTGCAAACGCCGGAGGGACCGCAGTTGCAGTTGCAGGCCCACATATGCGGCACCTGCATGTGGAGTGTATCACTACTGATGCACAAACAATTGTCCTGATGAGTGGGTGCGTAAAGAGTGAATACATGGGTAGATGGATGGATGGATGCGAGGATGGATGGTGCCTCTCACCTTAAAATCGCATAATGACCAAGTGACAGGCATATAAAATTATTTTGCTATGAAAATCCTTTCTTCAATACCTTCTCTTTCCACAGTTTACTGCCTTGAAAAGAGGTCATGTTCATGATTTAGTCAAACGACTTTCGAGTCTGTATCTGACATGGTTGTACTTTTCTGTAAAATACTTTCATTTAAACTTGTGATTTGCATCTATTGTCGCCGAAGGACAGCACCTCATGAAGCCTATTCTCTTGGTCCAATCAAAAAGTACTCGTGAATTGCGAAAATGACGAGATAGCTGCTTCCACACAAAGCCAGGTGACCGCAGCACTAGATCTCGATGTCCAGGCTCGCTCTTCCAGCTCTCATAGTGCTTTGTGTTGTCTGCCTCAGCCAAGGTGAGTGAAGAAATTTTCTTACCTCCCGCACTTCCTTTCCTTTCTTTTTATTGAAGTGTCCACTAAACTCACCGATCCCCACTCAAGTCCGATCATGTTGGAGTGAAGTCAGTCCCCTGTGTCAGTCCATGCCCATATATGCGAACGCACGTGCGGCACCTTCAATGCAACACTACCACCTAGAATTAGTTGACCCATCTTCTAATTCCCATCCACCACACTCTTATCACCACATTTTTCCCTGTGGGAGCATAATAAGGAGGAGCATGAGGTGTTTAACCTAGATGAATGATGTGTTTACAACTTGATGAGACGATTGCCCTAAATCAGTAGATTCAATTTATTGGATTCTATTGACAGACGTGTCACTTGTCATTTTGATGGTGACTTCTGAAGCAGGTAAGGGTGGCACATTGTAAATGAGAAAGTGGAAGTAATAGGCGTTATGAAGGGCACTTGTTAAGTTCAAAAAGTGGGAGTTCTTGCGCATATTTGGATCGGATCCATGACATTAAGCTCTCCTTAATGCCTGTCAACTTCCATACGTTCTCGAGCCTTGAAAGTTCATCTCCAAAGCTGTTGGTGCAACTAAATTTTGCCGTTTTTTAACACAGCAGTGGTCAGTAATCTGTGGGGCTCGAGTGTACATGATGAATTTGGTTTGAATTCTAGGCAGCAAGGATGTCTGCTACCTACCAATTGTGGAAGGAAACTGCAGTAACCGCATGAGCTTGTGGGCCTTTAATATCACCTCACGTCGTTGTGTGCGCTTCTACTACAGCGGTTGTGGAGGCAACGCAAACCGTTTCAAATACAGGCTGAAATGTGTATTCAGCTGTTTTAAATATCGCTTTTAGAAGAAGAAGAAAAGTGCCTAACCCCACTCTGTCAAAGACAAAATTGACAATACATAATTCCCAATTAATACAAATAAAGTGTACCTGGAGTTATCAAATTTTGTCCACTTTTTTTCAAACTGCTTCGAAATTTTTATCTTACTGGCATTTTCCTGTCCTTCGGAGAATTCTTACGGAGAGAGGAAGTCATTCAAGGACAGCCGGGTTGACGAAGGAATTTGACGGACTGGTTTGGGCTCGGCGGGTCACAACTGAATTAGCTGTGCTTATCTAAAGAAAGGGATTGTTGTACTCCACTGCATTGTTTGAGGTTGATGCAAGTGATGGTGTTAGGCAAACCCAGTTGCTTCCTCGAGATGGGATGTAAAGCACATTCATCAGCAGAGTGAAACCGACTTCGACGGTTATCTTGACCAGACAAAATAAGGAGTCTGTTTCAACATCTAACCTTCTCAATGACCAAGGCGTTATCTTTTCTACGCTAGTTTCAAAAGCTCGTCAGAAGGAGACGGTTTTAATTTTTCGCGCCCACCGAGTCGATGCCTTCTACAACAATTGAAAAGCTTAGGTTCACGAAGAGCACAAGGAATGCGACACAATTTTAAAGGAAATGAAATCCATTTATTTACCCAAAAATTGTGCTATGGATGCCTTATCCTGACCAAGGCCAAGATTCTTCACTCACTAAAGCCTTTTTCTACTTAAATACTAAGTACTGGAGGATTGCGGATGTAGAGGGAAGGGTGCTTTCACACGTAGGGCCAGCCGATGATACCACCAGATCGTGTTGACAATAATCACAGTTCTAACACTCATGACACTTTGTATTGCCGGCCTCGGTATACGGAGGTAAACAGCTTTTCTTCCGTCCTGCCTCTCTTTTCGTTTCTCTTCCCTATACCTTCATTCTTCGAACGCACTGATCAGGACGAAGTGAAGTCAGCCTCCTCCACAGATCTGTATATATACGAGCCCACGTACTTACTTGCAGCACTACTACCTTGGCAGAGAGGTTCTGCTTTCCAATCTCTAAATTCCAACCTAAACTTTGGTTCTTGACAAGGCTGCATGAGGGAAAGTATGAGAAACTTACTTTAGGTGACTGACATCGACAACTTGATGAGGTAGTTGCTCTAAATCTCCAGACTCAAATCAGTAGACTCAACTTACTCGATCTTGCCGACGGACTAGTCACCAGAAGCATGCGAATGAGTTGGCATATCCGCGATTCAGCATTCAGAGGATGTACGGCACCCACCGAAGGATTAATTGAGTGATGGTGTTCTAGAGGCAGCACTCACTGGTTCGATGGTCCGCAAGAGGGTCAGAGTGTTGCGCCCACCACTGTCACCACTTGGCGGCTGAGCTTCGTGTTGCCGGCTTTGCCATCAGTGTCACGCTCGAGTTAATCTCGTGGAAACGGTCAGGCAAATGATAATAAAACCGGTTGTCGTGGTGGGTCACCTCAGCACCTAACTTCGTATTGGGGCCATTTCAATGACTTTGGAGTTGGAGAGAGGAGTTTGTGCAATTGGAGCATAATCTCACTGTTAAATACAGTTTGTGGCATCATCCCCCACCTAATACTATACTATTTTGCCGTCTTATATGATGTACAAACTTTTTGCCGCTTTAGTATTTATTCTCAATTGAGTAGATGGACCCCGTAAGCTTTGTGCGCAAATGTTCCTCCATATACAGGTGGAACAGCGCTCCTGATCATTGAGGACCAATTTCCACGAGGGTGCCGCTTTTGATTTCCACCTTTTGCATTCCCACTTCACTGCAGAGCACACAACAGCACTAGGCTTCACAATACTTGACCAACACTGTACTCAGCATCACATCCTACAATGTAGAGTGATTATCTTTCCTTCACCCCTTGTGAGTTGTTTGATGCTTGAATGTTGTAGAATACTTGAAAGCACCCATATCCAAAACAACCACTTAAAGAGATTAAGGATTTCTTTTACGGTGGAACTTACTGCTTAGCGTGTACTAGGAAGACACATTTTGCCACTCGGAGAGGGATCTAGTTTCTAACCGTTATCTAGTCAAAGCATCTACGGTGTCCCCGCAAGAGTGGCCATACATGTACCACTAACATGGAAAGTTAAAAGCACCTTTTTCTTGAGGGAGTCATATTTACTTCTGGACAAAGGGAAGGTCTTTCAACAGCCCATCCTGAACGGCCGTGCTACCGCGTACATATAAGTAAAACTTGATGGCGAAATTGCAATCAGCATACAAGAAGAGAACTTTCAAGTTTGCATCAAACTTGGCTGCACTTTTCCGCAAAACACCTTCTTTTAATCTCGTGATTTGCAACTATTAGCATGACTAGGCTCAAGAGACAGCAGTTAGTAAGGCCTATTTTCTTAGCCCAATCAAATGAGCACTCATGAATAGCGTAAGGGACGAGAATGTTGCTTTTACACAAAGCCAGGTGATCATAGCACTAGATCGCAATGATCAAGATCGCTCTTCTAGCTCTCCTACTGCTTTATGTTACCAGCTCCAGTCAAGGTAAGTGAACAACTTTTCTTGTGTCCTGTCAGTCCATTTCTTTCTCTTCATCAAACCCTTATCAAGTGAAGTATCCATGGGAATCACCACTATCAAATCGAGTCCAGTCATGATAGAGTGGAATCAGCCTCCCATGCTAGCCCATGTATATGCATTCACACACACTTTCGGTGCTTTCAATACTGTAGCGGAGAAATTTCGCCTTTTACTTCCTACTTTTATTCTTGACGAAGTAGCATGAGGCACTCACTCACGCTAGGTGAACGACGTACTGACAGCTTGATGAGCTGATTGCCCCATATTACCAATTTGTTGGCGCCTTCTGAAGTAGGTATGGGGGGAGCATTTTGGTGGCATTGTATAAAAAACGATGCAAAAGTAGTAGGCGATACGAAGTGCACGTGTTAAATCCAAAATATGGGAGGATTAGTCCATTGTTGTGTAAGTTCTTTGGATACATAACACCAAGCTCTGCTCAATGCCCGTCTACTTCTATGCATCTGCAACTGTTTCAGATGCACCTTTCAGGCTGAAGTTCACCACAACTACGGTCAATGGTCTTTGAGCCTCATGTGAATGTGAGGATCTTTTTGGTTTCTAGGTGAAGAGAGTATGTGTAGCCTACCAATTGAGGGAGGTCAATGCCGAGGCTACGTTAAATCATATGCCTATGATAGCGCAGAAGACCGCTGCGTGCGTTTCATCTACACTGGTTGTGGAGGCAACCCAAACCGCTTCAAATACAAAATAGAATGCTTACTCGCCTGTGTTAAGCATTACAAGCAGCAACAGAAGAAGAAAAAGAAGCACTGAATTCTCTTTGATAAAAGGATAACTTGACAATGCACAACTATCAATTAATACAAAAAAGGGAATGTGGAGTTATTAGATGGCTGTCTTCTCCTATCCGATCCGAATTTTGCCGTCTAGGCATTTATCGGCTCCGTCTCATGCTCTGACAGGATGGGGCATTCACTGAAATACAGCTAGGCTAAAGAAACAATCTCGTGAACAGCAAATGAATCAGTTGTGCTAAAATAGGATAAGACAGAACTTTGCTTTGCGGACCCCCAAAGTCCTGGTTCACTACTACACTTCTAGAGGAAATCATGAGGAATACTATTAAAGAATTCATACAGGTCGCAATGCACATTCAGTCACAGGGTGAAGCCGAGAGTAAAGCAGTAAAGCAAACTAAAGAATACTCAGAAAAGCTTCCCCACATAACATAGCCAGAAAAGTGTCCGGAAAAAAGATGTGTGACCATATATGAGGAAAGTAAAAGGCTCAAACCACACATTAAATTATGCACTTAATTATAAATTCACTTACAAAATTATGCAGAACACATAAAAGGCTCAAAGAACTAAATTCACTCATTATCATGTATTGCGCTCTTCGTATACTACACTGTATGTCTTCTAAGTGTGCGATATAAAATGCGTTTAAAAAACAATCATGTATTTTCAGTGAAATAAAAAAAATGCCAAACAAACCTGCGAGGAACGAACATGCGCACGTCCAAATGAGGCGCCTTTATGGTATAAACACCTAAACATATACAATCGGAATCGCAAAACTACAAAAATACGCCATAATGGCCCTAAAATGCGACCGCATTTTCAAATTTTAAAGGATGTTATAAATACATTCTGATCAGCCTGAACCATGGCTTAAAAACATAAGTATGCCACACTTGCATGCGTTTTAAGAAATCACAATAAAACAATTGAACAAACATGTCAACTGCAGCCTCTTGAGTCTTTTTACAAACAGGAAAAGTTGCTATACTTGGGCAATATATATGCACACATATTTGAAATACAGAAGGTATCATCGCTCTCTACTTGGCCCTAAGGACAACCCACCCAGCGAGGTACAATGGTCAAGACAGTGACCAACCAACCAACCAACGCATCATATCCTCATAATTTGATTTACTACTTATGCACACCTTTAATTTTGCAATCGCAGGAGTAAATCTAAACACCAAGATTATTGACTTGTAGGCAAACAAGCCCCAATTCACTCTTACCCAAAAAGTCCACAAGATTTTTACTTAAAAATACAGGTGCATATGTTCTCAAAATCACTATTGTACAAGCGATTTCAGTCCTCATACATTCCTACACATGTGTATACATAAAAAACTCAACTCTTAAAAGGAATTTATACATTATTTGTAATCGTATATTTACCTTTAAAATCTTATGCTCTTTTGAAAAGTTGGAACCACTGACGTCAATGCAGCCGCAGATCGGCTGCAGCACTATCACAGCCTACTCATCCTTGCCACCGAAAACCCTACTACCTCCTCTTATAACCCTGTCTTGCCCTCGTTTTGCAAGTTCCTTAGCATGATAGTCGACGTAGGCTCGGAATAATAGCTATTGCAACTGCATCTGGTAGGCTAGAAGAAGGAACGGGAGTTAGCTGAGGTAGCTCGGAAACGTATCGGAACCTACCAGTCCGCCATTTGGAGTAAGGAGCTGCAAATGGGCTTTAGAGGCACCCGTCCCCGGTGCCAGCGGACTTCCGCCACTGAAAAGAAGAGCAGTGGATGTGGTGGCGGTTACAAGAAGCTGCAGGATCACTTAAGACGCACGCAAAAACGGAGGGAAATAAATGTAGCCTTGAATGAGTGATCTTGCTGCTGTTCTGATTGTCGAGGGTTTCTCGCATGTGGCTGAGCCACGTCAACAAGCGAAGGAGCTCACTGAGTAGCGTAAGCTCAAGGTACAGCAGCAGCAACAGTAAGTGGATGGCCATGGTAGATTAAGTCAGGTAGGGCAACACAGGCATAAGGTCGAGAACAAGGGAAATTTTTTTTTTGTAACAAAGAGATAAAGTCGGCGCCTTGGGCAAGAACTCTTTGTGATGATTATCCCCTCTCTCACTGCCTCTAGAGGAGGCTATGTCTTCGAGGTTTCCTCTACGAATTCATCCACCTTTGTTACACACTATATGGGAGGCGAAAAAGTTGTAGAACACTAAACCAGACGTGATCAAGCAATTAGTACCATGGCGGAACGATTCCACCTTTCACTTTCTACCTTTCACTGTCCGCTCTGTGGAATCAGCATGGGGGAGAACATAAAGTATCTGCTCAATTTTAAGGAATGAAGTGCTAAGGACTTGATGTTTTGATTGCTATAAACAACTGGGATAAGGTATGAAAACATAGAAAGGAGACGGTAGACCTGTTTTTCACCGTTCGGGTCATGTTCCGTGTCCACCAAAGCATTGATTGATGGCCTCCTAATTGTGGCACACACTGTTGCGTTCACCACTGCTATCCCACTTTAGCAGTGCTGTATGTCTCTGGTGATGTCACTAACGTCATGCTCGCATTATTTCTGAACAGGCAACTATGCATATGAGAGTTGAAGCAGCCTGATTACGAAAGTGCATGAAGTTCTAGAAAAGAGTAGTGGCAATAGAAACACACTTTCCTTGTCATCGTTTTAGAATATATTTTGGTTGATTTTACTGAGGCCTTAGCGACAAATTATCTGACAATCACGAGGAATCAGCTATAAACCGACGGTGCTGCAAAAATTTGGCCATTATTAATGGAAAACCGCATTGCCACTGAATTTCTGACTCTATCATTATGGAAAGGTAAGAATAGTGCGATTGTTTAAGATTAACCTCACAATTTAATCGAAAGCATCACCTTCTAGAGGTCCCCTGACTTTAGCTGCTAGGTCAGCTTGCCTGGTGTGCCGCTTCGACACCCCGCCTCGGAGTAAATATTGTTTTGTGAGTCGATCTACTGAATTTGGTTTGAGTAGCAAGTAATTTGGGTCAGGCATGTTTTAGGAATGATAATAGTATTGATGGTGACGAACTGATAAGTGTCACCAGATGTCAAATTATGTTCGATGATAAATGCAAAAACGCAAAACTCAAAAATTCAAGCTCTTGATTCTCAACACAAATGTGACTAATAATATGCCAAATTGAAATGCATTTAGTCAGCACATAGCTTGGGCAATAAGCCCTTCCCTCTCAAGGTCGAACTGCTATTAATTTTACAGGTCAACAGTACATTTATGACTACTCTTGTCCTCTGATTTTCCTTATGCAGTAACTTTCACCGAGAAATAAGAAATTAGTCACTTTAAGTGATTTTTTAAGCTGTGAGAGATTTCAAGGAGAAATGTAAGCCCAATACACACTACAAAAATGTGTGATTCAGAATGACAACATGTTACTTGGCATGCCATCAAGTGTTCAGTCATTTGTAGTGCCTTAGTCAAGTACAGTGGAGAGGTGTGCAACACCGTACTTCGTAATTTAGATTACTACGGTTTTAAGCTATTCCAGTGCTTGAAGCAAGCGGGAATGTGGTCGATGCGAAAGGGAATTGACGCTACTGTGGAAAACTGGCACACAAGGATCGACATTGCCATCTCGAGAATGTGTAGACACGCTTTTAGGCAAACAGCTTACCCAGTCCGTCTGCTAAATTGGGGTACGAAAACAAATTAGGAGGATGCTAACTATTGCTACTGCTTACTTAAAAAGGCAGCGTTGACAGTTACTTTCATCTTTGATGCAAGAAGACTCGATAATCGTATTTCCGTTTGCTCAAGAATTTTATTTCTTTAGCGTCTCCTCTTTTGTACACAACTATCAGCAAATGATGCCAAAATTTTACACGATTTCTTCAAATAAATTTCACCATTTCTTTGTAAGTAAACCGAGGAATGCGCACATTGTTTGTCATCTCATGACTGGTTCACTTCTTCTACTCGCCATGCTTCCGCGATAAAAATCAAAACAAGTGTAACGAAGAGACAGCTAAAATAAGTAGGTCTTTGGCTTTCAAACTTCCACCAAAATTGGATTATTCAAGGGCGCTTGACTGTAGTACAGCACAGCAAGAGGACGAGACACCAAATTCCGCCTAATCATGTAACTGTTCCCTAATCACAGAATTCACCTGAACTGAATAATTCTGTGGAACGTCCACGGAGGCTGTCAACCGCATTGACGATACCGATGCAATGAAGGCAGCTCCTGGTGTGGTAGCTTACGATGTCCCAATGCCCGGTGAAGATGCAGATGTTGCCGGCACCAATTATTCAGCCGCCGGGTTTTCTTCCTCACAACCACCACAAACCAAGCCAATGATTCAAATACAAAATCACTATGACGCTGAACAATGCATCGGATCGCATCGCATCACATTACACCTCAGCACAATACACCACACCGCCTCACTGCACAGCATGCCACATCAATCCACTTCACTTGACTTAGGCACTGCAAGTGAGTGAATGCTTGAAAACATGTCAGTAAGGTGTTATTCTGAATCACATAACTCCATTATGCACAATGTCACTGTCTCCCACAGGCCATGTAAGTTGCCTTGTTGCCTAAAGGCTGAAGGAGACTTATAAGCGCCTACAGATTGAACAACCGCTTAGAAATTTAGTCGTTTACTTCTCCATGAAGCTTGCTGTAGGAGGTAAATCGAGAAGACACATTTTGTCATTAGAGATGAAATCGGGGTTAATTTGATGGCTTAGTCAAATCACCTGCCTTGTAACCACATCAGTGGCCATGCGTGTGCAGATAATCTGTGAAGCAACTGCTAATTTCACCAAGGTGCAGTCTTGTATATCCTGGAAATTAGATGACCGGTTCGCCTGAGGTCTAAACAGTTTCACCAACACTCACCTCAATTCGCGAATGAGTCACTGTAGCTGTTACACTTTAGGTAAATATTCACTCCAGAACATTAGTGAATTATTTGCATTTAACGTCGAATGAAAGTGGAGAGCTGGTGAAATGTTTTCGTTTGTTACTTGTTATTGCAGTATTCTATTCACTGTTAATCATTCATGTCTCAACCCATTTTCAACAGTGAGTTCATGCACTAGTTGTAGATGAACCCCAACCCTGAAATCACCGAAATGTTATTTAGTACAAAAAGAGGTGCTGAGATGGCACATCTAGAGAGCCAGCTGAAAAATTAAAGTCCGTGAGTATCCCGAGGCCCCCATGGGGTTCACGTTAATCTGGCCCCTTGGATGGCTTCTCAAAGTTGTCCACGATGCAGCAATCATTGATGTCTATGGATGTCTAGTAGTGTAAAATATATTGTCACCGATGATTGAACCTCTCCTTATAGTAGCAAGCATTGGAACTACAAAGCACAGGAGAAAAAAAACGTTTCGCCAAAACACTTCAGCGTGTCACACGAATGACAAAATATGTCAAGATTCGTAGAGCAAAGCAAGTGAACAACGATGAAGTGCAGAAATCACACGATTGACATTAAGCGTTGTGGTTTTACACGCACTCAATGGCCAGGGACTGAGCGAGAGCCCCACCCAAACACTCACCTACTAACGTTCTAGAATATTCGGAGATTAGGCATTTCCAACATTAGAACTTATAGGCAATCAAATAGGAAGGTACATTTTGGCTTGCACACAACCCATCGCCTGAGCACTTTAACTAATCAGCACATCATCTTGTAGGAAAGTTAGCACTGTTGACTTCTAGTGCCGACTTGTCCTCGTTGTGACTCAAGACTTAACCTACCAAACCGACGCCATGCTACATGCGTTGGGATGTCCCAGATATTTTCCGCCATTTGTAGGCTATATCTCTTTCTAGGAGGTTTCATCAGTGTTAAGCTGACAATTCCTCAGTTTACCAGGTAAACAGTTACTTGGGATGCCTCATGCAGTGCCCTTTCCAATTTCAGTAATAAATTTGACCTTAGTGGATCTGAGTCAAATCTATTTGACAACCCAATGATCAGGACTTGCTCGATAATCGCCGATGTAGGTGTCAGTGGCAGTTGTGAGTCCAGCTCAGACTTTCGGCTCATTAAGATTGAAAACGTTGTCTGATGCCATTGCTTTGTTGACCGAGCGAGGCATGCACCGCATTAATGCTTCCAAAAGTGTTTCATGGTTTGGTGCTGAAGTGTTCGTTACAGTTTTTGCATCAATAGAAACATGTCTAAGACATCAGCAGTTACCTTATCCTTCGTAACTTCAGTAGAGCTCATTTGAATGTATCAACATGCCAGTGGAGAACAGGGGAGGCGGAGTATGTGGTGACATGCTGACAGCGGTGGTAAAACAACTGTCTTTGTCCCTAATCAAAACTCAACCAGACTAAAAGAAATTGGTGACACGCTTGACGTTGACCAAACGCTGGTCCTGTTAAACTCATCATCACAGCCTAATCAAGCTATTTTTGATTGTTACACAGAAGTCAAATCTGAGGTAGCTGTCAAGTGTTGATGCGGCTCTAACAGGTCTTTGTGTTCAGCCTCTCCACAGTTTCAGCATAACGGAGCAGATGCTTGCCTCTTTGCCACCTAGATTCGCCACTGATCCACCAAAATCAAAATTCCAACATTTTTTTTTCACACATCAAGCATGCAAATAATATGAAGCTGTGGAGTCAAAACATGGCGGAATGTGGAGCAATTTTGTGCTTGTTAACAACGTAATCAAATGTGGGCGGATTCTCCCACATTCCGTGTTTGACGCGTACTTCATCTCGCACTAACCGCTTTATCTTTGTAGTGCACAGCATATCATTAAAATGCTTCTCTCCTACCTGCCCCAGAAATCACTAGCAAAATGACAAGTGCCGAGCCTATGCACGAAATCCCACAAAATTTAGCACACTGATTAGGCTCTACTGAGAGAGAGGCACACATGCAGTGAACAGCTCCGCAAATTACCTAACCTTCAAATACGCATCTAGTGGTTAAGTGATTTCCCGAACCACACACCCGCATTATGCATAATGCGATCATCTTTCCTCTACTTCTTATGACCAAAGGATCACCACCTCTCTGGAGGCATGTGTCAAATAAAGACTGTGTTCAAACCTTTATAGTAGAGCGTGCCACAACGGATGCACAACAAATTGTCTTTTTGAGTTAGTGAATACGAGGTGGATTAGTCGGTGAGTGGGGAATGATTGAATGGGCTGGATGCGGGATGCATGTACTTTCCTGTCTGGTATTGATGCACACACTTTCAAAATCTTACTAGGGTCTATTATCTAATTTCTGCTTTCCATAGACGTTCATTCACTCTCCTCCATGAAATATCAAATAAACTGTGGCAGTCATATGCAGCCCTGCATTCATTTGCCACGATAATCCTACCTACCATACTTTCCATTTCCATTATTTAATACCTCGAGGAGAGATTTTGGTAATATTTAAAGTTGGTGGCTTTCAAGCCTGCACCTACTTTGGCTGTACTCTTCAGCAAATCTAACTTTGTGATGCATATCTATTATCATGACTTGAATCTAGACTCCACTTCACAGGACTTGTTCTCTTGAACCAATCAAATAAGCACTCGTAGACTGCGTATATAATGGGAGGGTTGCTTTCACACAAAGCGAGTTGACTACACCACCGACTGACGATGACCAAGCTCCTTCTTCCAGCTCTCATGTTGCTTTGTGTTGTCT